ATGGTGAAGTGGAGTATGAGATATGATTTGCCAAAGCTAAAGAATAGAGATGCAATTACAGCTCAGAGCATGCATCAGCATGGATACCTTATCGTAGACTTCTTGACTTGTCAGCTTGTCAGCTTGTCAGCTGCGATCAGCTGCAAAAACGATGTCATTTACTGCCTGGGAAATCAGGCCGAAATCGCACGCCGCCCCTTGCCATTTTTGGGCAACGGACCAGCATTCCTTGGGCCACACAAACTCAGGTTCAATTTTTTGACCCTTCAGGTTCCTTTCATGTGCGAGGAAGTGACTGGCCGATAAGCGTTTCTTTGAGCATACAACTTTCGCGACCTTGAACTCTTGACACTCTCCAAAGACTTCAGCTTCTTCATTGTTTCTGCGCTGTCACTTTTCTCCCCTCGTGACTCTGCCCCGTTAGAGCAGGTTTATTACCCGAGTGACTGGGTCCAAATACCCTTTGACTACTGACTACCTAGTTGTACTTGCACTGGGCCCAACCCAACACCCCCCCAGTCTGCTAAACTAAACACGCACTAGTCGGGCATGGCTTGATAGTGTCTCCGGGCTATGACTACTCGCCGCCGCATCATTCTGTCCTAAACCACCACCTTCATTGAATCTCTGTGAACTCCATCCCCCTCCCCTCCTTTCTCTCCCCTCCCCCCCTCTCCCCTCCATTGCTTTCGAGTCGTCGACTCCGAAGGCAGCCAGGCTGGTCGAAGATGGAAGAACAGGTAAGCGATATTCTTTTCGATCATCGTTATTTGTCTTCCCACGTTGCGTTTCACTTGGTCTTTTTTTGCATCTTACCCGTTTTTCTTTTTTCTCGAATCCCCACCCCACCATTCCTTCCTCCCCCTCCCCCCCTCCATGCTTACCCGTCCAGTCAAATTACTCTTCCAGATTCTCGGAATTGATTTCAGGACCCTTGTTCATTGTCATGTTGACTTTCCATTAGGTAGCGAATGCCATTGAAATCGCCTGGAATCCGTCCTCCGACCAAGCCCTCAAGAACCAAGCCTACGACTACCTGAACCAGCTTCGCGCCGACCCCTCCGGATGGCAGGTCTGCCTTGCTCTCTTCACCAAAACCCCACAATACTCCGAGATTATACGCCATGTGTCGTTGGAAGTGGTCAACAGTGCGGCTCAGGCCGGCCTCCTTGACCTCCAGGCCCTAGGATATGTTCGGGATGGCTTGATGGCCTACCTTCGACAGGTCTACGGTCAGGAAACCGCCTCCCCAGATCCGCCCAACATTCAGAATAAGATCGCTCAGACCATTACCTTCCTTTTCTCCGCTCTTTACGCGAACGGTTGGGAATCCTGCTTTGACGACCTCCTCAGTCTCACCTTCAAGAGCCCCGCGAGCACGAGTCGCGACAATCCGCTCGGTATCATCTTCTACCTCCGTGTCGTCAATTCGATTCATGAGGAGATCGGCGATGTTCTGGTGTCCCGGTCCCGTACAGAGCAGGACAAGGCCAACCTCCTCAAGGACTTGATCCGGGAACGCGATATGCAGAAGATCGCCAGCTCCTGGCAAGAGATTTTGTCTGAATGGCGGGACGGCAACGATGTGATTGTGGAGATGTCGCTCAAGGCGGTTGGCAGCTGGGTGAGCTGGATTGATATCGGCCTTGTGGTGAACCAGACCATGATGGACCTGCTGTTCCAGCAGCTCAGCCGTGCGCAGAAGGCGGAACTCAGATCCGGTGAAGAGAAGGTGCGCGATGCGGCGGTTGATGTCTTCACGGAAATCATCGGCAAGAAGATGAAGCCCGAGGACAAGATTGACATGATTATTTTCCTGAATCTCGACACTATTGTTACCCAACTCTCCAATAGCCCCCCTCTCAACGAGAATAGGTTCACCTTCAAGTACGATACTGATCTGGCGGAAACGGTGGCCAAGTTAGTCAATATTACAGTCATTGATATTGTACGGGCTCTGGAGCAGGATACCATCATGGCTGACTGCAAAGAGAAAGCCACTGGTCTGCTGCAGGCCTTCCTTCCGCATATCCTGAGATACTTCTCCGACGAATATGATGAGGTCTGCTCGACTGTGATTCCCTGCGTCAGCGACCTACTGGCCTATCTGAGGAAGATGGCTAAGGTCAACCCAGCCCTGGCTGCGCAGCACTCCTCCGTCCTGCTCCCAATCTTGAAAGCCATCATTGCCAAGATGCGCTACGACGAGACATCGTCTTGGGGAGACGAGGATGATCAGACGGATGAGGCGGAGTTCCAGGAGCTTCGCAAGCGGTTAGGTGTTCTACAGCAGATTATCGCCAACGTGAACGAACCACTATACATCGACGCGGTTTCGGAAGTAGTAGGGACGACCTTCGAGAATCTGCGGCAGTCGGGTGCTCAACTTGATTGGCGCGACTTGGATATGGCTCTCCACGAGATGTTCCTGTTTGGAGATATCGCCGTCAAAGCAGGTAGCCTCTACACCAAGGGGTCTCCCAACAACCCTGCTGCAGAGCGACTTATTGAGATGATGCTGAAGATGGTGGAGTCTGATATTCGCTCTTTCACACACCCTGCTACGCAGCTACAGTATATGGAGATATGCGTCCGCTACAGCTCGTTCTTCCAGCACCATACTCATCTAATTCCGAGCGTCTTGGAAAGCTTCCTCCAATTAATCCACCATCCGATCAAGAAGGTGAAGACACGCTCATGGTACCTGTTCCAGCGCATCGTCAAGCAGTTGCGAACCAATGTTGGCAACGTTGCTCAGACCGTGATTGGGGCCTTGACCGACCTCCTGGTCATCCATGCAGAGGTGCCTTCAGAAGGATCGGACGGGGACGAAATGTCTTCGGAAGACCACGAAGGATCGGCAGACGCTGTGTTCAACAGTCAGCTGTATCTTTTCGAGGCTGTCGGCATCATCTGCTCTACCCCCACAGTACCCGCTGACAAGCAAGTTCTTTACGCGCAGTCCGTGTTGAACCCCATCTTCATGGACATGGAGAAGAACTTGGCGCCCGCCAAAGCCAACGACGAGAGAGCCGTTTTGCAGATTCACCATGATATCATGGCTCTGGGCACGTTGGCCCGCGGCTTCTCCGACTGGATGCCTGGAACCAGCTCTCCTGCTGCGCTCCCTGCGCCGGAAGTTTCCGAGGCATTCATGCAGGTGTCGGAAGCCACTCTCGTGGCTTTGGAGTCGCTCAAGGCTTCGTTCAATGTGCGCACGGCGGCACGATTCGCCTTCTCCCGACTTATCGGCGTTCTGGGGGCGCGCATTCTCCCCCAGCTTCCCCGCTGGATCGATGGCCTTCTCACGCAGACATCATCGCGCGACGAGATGGCCCTGTTCCTTCGGCTGTTAGACCAGGTCATCTTCGGCTTCAAGACCGAGATCACCGGTATCCTAGACACTCTTCTGACACCTTTCTTGCAAAGGGTCTTCTCCGGTATCGCGGACCCGACTACTGGCACCGATGATGAGATCCAGTTGGCGGAATTGAAACGCGAATATCTTAACTTTCTCTTGGCTGTTCTGAACAACGACCTCGGAGCTGTCATTATCAGTGAAAGTAAGTTGTATCTTGTGGCTGTCAGCATGATCTAGACTAACGATTTAGGGAACCAACCTATGTTTGATACTGTGATTACGACAATCGAGCATTTCGCCAAGGACATTGAGGATTTCACCACCGCCAAGATGGCCTTTTCAGTGCTGTCAAAGATGGGCAGCTCGTGGGGTGGTCCGGACATTGCGCCGGAGGGTCTGAACGGCGCGGCAGGACAGCAGGTAGCTCTGCCCGGCTTCGGCCAGTTCATGATCAGCCGGCTGTCGCCGCTGTGCTGGGCACTGCCCGCGACACCATCGTTCAACTCGAAGGATGCACAGGCCAAGCAGGTCCTTGCGGAAGCCGGTGCGCTTCAGCGGACAATCTACGCCAAGACTGGCATGGAATATCTGGAGTATCTCCGGAATCAGGAATTGCCAGGCATGGGCATGGGGGCAGATCTCGTGGAAGAGTTCGTGGGGGCATTGAGCCGGCTGGACTTGAAGGGATTCCGGCAGTTCTTCCCGGTTCGTATTTCTTCTTCCACTCCTGGCTTGAGGCAACGGCTAACATCCCCTGCAGTCTTTTATCCAGCGATTGAGCGCATGATGTGTGGTCCTTCTATATTAAAATATCCCGTCTTCTCATTTTCCTGTTTCTCGGCCCTTTTGACCTCACCCAATCATTCTGTTTCAGTCCTAGATTCCCCCATGGTTTGGTTTGATGACTGATGTGTCTCATGTGATCATTTACACCGAAGCTCTCTTCCCCTCCCATTCCACCTCCTATTATCATATCATATACACACGGTACGCCGTGAATCATGCATTCAAAAATTCTCCATTCGCCGCAAATGAATCTGCAGGCTCAAGTGCAGGCTCAAGAGCAGGCAAGCAAGCAAGCATACACAGCACGAGCACAAGCTGAGGAATGTGCCGTGAGAATAAACAAGCCAGACCAAAGAAGAAGAAAAAAAAGTATATAGTCCAGTTTTCGACTCGGCATAAGCATGAGTGGGCGTTCGAATCATAATCCTATTCCTACTTTGAACCTATTACGCGCGGAACAGGTGGTGGAGTGCATGCAGTATGCGATGGGCTAGAATAGCATCACGACGATTTCAGAATGGAGGGTAATTCTGCTAGTGCTAGTGCTTGGGGCAGGTGCATTGTTCTTTAGCTTGTTGGTTGGGTAGATAGGCAGGTATTCATTATAGATACCATCAGAATTGTTTCTGATTCTGTGTACTGTATCTTCGTTTGGCGCAGGTATGTTCTGACATGATGTAACATGTGTCTCTGCGGGACGCTATACTCTACCAGCTGCCTTTCCCCAATCTTCTCCATCGTAACGCAGAGAAAAGACCCCTAGCCTATTCGGTGGTCTACAATCTTCCCTGGTCGACGAACCTACAGCACAGTAGAGTACAGTACAGCCCCATATGTCCAGACTACATCCTCACTACGCACCCCCCTTCAAGACCAACCCCATCATCTGCACCAAACGATCCTGCATCTCACAGAGGATACTCACGGCCTTTTATCAGTCAAAAAAATGCAGTCAGCAACGTGCTTCCCCTTGCTCAATAGAACACACCACGAAAGCACATACCTGCGCAAGCTTCCCCTCACTCTCCCCCCGCCCCTCCCGACTAAACGCAAGCCGATACCCCGCCTCATCGTCCCGGAACGACCCCGGTGCGTGTAGCTGATGGGCGGGGTAGTCTCGAAAAGATTCGGGACCATAGCAGCAGCCGAAGCCGGCAGCGCGGCCAGTTGCTGCAACAGCCCCGGCGCGATGGCCATGTGGTGCACGCCGGCGAGCGCGAGGATCTCGTCTGTGGAGGTCAAGCTGGCGGGGAGGACTTGCGTGCGGCTGTTGATGGCGTGGTAGTAGGTTTGGATCCTGGGGGGGCGGGGGAGGGGGATCTATTTCATTTCTTTTTAGTTTTGGGGGGGTGGGTTTTTGGGGGGGATTGAGGTTATTGGGGGAAAGGTGCTCACCCCGGTTCAAAGTGCACCTTTAATTGATTCACGTAGGGCGCGACGTAGGTGCATCCGACCTCGGCGGCGAGCGCGGCTTGGGTTAGCGTGAAGAGGGTGGTGGCGAGGGTGCGCACGCCGGAGGCTTCGAGGAGCGAGCAGGCGAGTAGGCCCTCCCAGGTGCTGGGGATTTTGATGCAGATGCGCGATTGCGGGAGGGTTGGGGCGAGGTGCTGGGTGAGGTGGATGATTCCTTTGCTTGTGGTCAGTTTAGGGGGGGTTGAGGGGGTTGGGTGGGGTTTCTGGGGGTGGGGGGAGAAGGTGGATGAGGTGTATATACGCACTCCACGCATTTGTGAAGGTCTTTGTGGTCGAGTAGGAGTAGTACGGGTTGGTTTGGATGTGGATGTAGCCTGTGATGTGGGGGGCGATCTTGAGGGCGAGTTTGATCGTCTATCCAGGAAGAATTAATGGCCGTGGCCGGGTTAGTTACGCCCATCCTAAGCAGTGTGCTGGAGGTGTTTTGAAAGGGCTGATTCGTTACATACTGCAATCTCGACGGCCAATTCCTCGACGCTGGGCCGGGGAATTTGGGAGATAGCTCAATTGCTTCTTTGACGGATGCGGTGATCAGGTCCTTGTGCGCGGGCTAGGAGAGCTCTCCCAATGCGATTGCCTGGGGTAGTATGAAATGATACTTAGGGATTGTCTCGGCTGCAGCGGACGACTATACAGTACCTGATTGGAAGTGCAATCCTGGAAGGGGCCGAAGGTTTTGGCAACTGATCATGATAGACGACAGTTTGGGTAGCTCCGCATTCGAAGCGATGGGTCTGATAATAAAAGCTGCACAGACCTTGCTCATCCATTGTATCGCAGTCGACAATGGTCCTTTGGCGGAGAGCGTCCAGTGCTGTCTGCGGGGTAGCCATTGTGATGATGGTATGAGAAGGAGTACCAGGTGAGTTGATAATGGCAGCAAGTTAAGGAATGATGGAGTAGAACCGGAGAAGAGGAGGGGAATGTGCTTATAAGAGAGATGCAGCAGAATGGCCTGATCGGCGCATTGTCAAACAAAGAAAGCTCGTTGTTCTGATAAGCACTGCCAACTCTGTACTAGCTTGACAAAGGTACTATACCTACCTTCGTGTTTGTAATCGACACAAGGATATCAGGACACAAGGTCGTAGGATATCACTTCGCCGAATTAAGAAATTCAATATCTGGAACAGAAACAGCTTGTAAATTGCGGAGATAATCATTGTCAGCCACATCGCGCTATTTCATGTTTCCGTGGAACCTCTCAAGGTATATACAGTACAAAGAATGGCATCTGCCTATTTATTCTACTTGCCTGTTGGCTGCCTGTTGGCTTCAAGGCTCTTTGTCAACATGTCGCTTCCAAGTTGCAAGCACGGGAAGCAGACTCTACATACATCCTCACAACAACTTCAAGATCCATTCTAGCCGGCAACCATCGATTACGTACTGGAAAGAAAGTCCCATATTATGGAAGAAGTTCACCGAAAGGACTTTGTCGCCATCGCCAGGGTTCTTGCTCCGCCAGCGTCGTCACCCCCCGATCCGTACCGCCGTGTGCGAGCTGAGCTTCTTGCTACTGTCGAAGACGGACCACATTCACCACAATGCCCCTTCGTGTCATTTGCACCGGCGGCGCAAAATGACCTTCTCAACATGATTGGGACAATCGCTGGCCCGAAGGGCACACCCTATGAGGGGGGCTTGTTCCAGATTTCTCTCTCTATCCCCTTGTCGTATCCGAGCCAGCCCCCCGATTGTCGATTTGCGACCAAGATCTGGCATCCGAATGTCGGCCACGATGGCAGGATCTGCTTGAACATCTTGGATGAGGCTTAGAGCAAGGCTCTTTCTTTCAGAGTGGTTCTGATCTCGGTTGCTGCATTGATTGGAAGCCCTGGACAATTTATGGAAGAGGAGGGCGGGACATCAATGCCATTGCGGCCAAAGGCGGCACAGATGTGGTTGGAGAACTCGGCAGAGTTTGAGAAGACTGCCCAGGAGTGGACTCGCCGATATGCCATGTCTTTCCAGACCGAGGGTTAGTTGGTATTACTGAGAGACAGAAAGCCTGCAAGAGAGATTCGAATTCGAAATACAACCACACAGTAACCATACTCATGTAAGGTAGTATTTCGGTGGACAGAGAAAGATTAGCTAAGTACAGAGCATAAAATAATAGTATATATTTTTATAAATTCATTTCTATTATCCTAAGGTATAGTCAAAATTGGAGTATTGGAAAGGTAAGTTATAGATCACACGATCATAGCTTCGTAACTAGTAAGTATTGTATACAATAACACCCAATATCCTTCTCACAATAAAGACAATCCTTGCTTCCTATGTGTAAAGCGGCCCTTGGGATTGATAGTAGACCCGCCAGTAGGGCGATTTCTACCTTCTGTGCCTATCTGGGAAAACGGAAATAGTCTCATCAAGTATGGTTATCCATTTGCAGAAGGCAAAGTTTCAGGACTTGAGCTAACAAGACTGGGAAATCACTAGCTTTCGATGAATAAAGCGTCACAATACAGCCTCCCACACTATCCCACTCAAATTCGCAAGGACCACTTGTCAACTCGGTACGAGAAGCTCGCACTTGCCCTGTCTTGTTTCGCGTTGCTGTCGGCGTAGATCGATAATTACCAGCCGCTCGCCACGCTAGGAAGTAGCAGAAACATCGTCGTCAACGCCGCTGTCAGAACGGTTGGGCACATCCTCCTCCTGGAAGGAACGTCGTGGCCAAGCTTGGAAAACATCATGGCTATACCCAATTGTCGTCCCTCGCTCGCGGACGTACTGATTCAAAGAGCTCTTGAGAAGATCCGGCTCGATGTCCTGCGGAATTTCGTAGAATATGTCTCGACCAAATTTGCGATCGAACAAGAGATATCGAATAGGGAAAGGGACACATGCTGCATGATCTTTCTGGTATTCAGTCAGAATGATATCGATGTTGGTGCGATTGAGGTTTTTGGACGTCATTGTGTGTGTGCGTGGGTGGATGCCCTTTGAAGGGAGTCGAGGAAGTATCTGCACTTGTAACTGTCTCAGAGTTTAGATACCGGGTGCAGATGATGAGCAGCGTTTTTGGAGCTGAGAAAGTGCTGCCTTGTCTACTTTTTTGGTGGTTTGATAGTTGGGGTATTTTAGGCAATCGTGTTTAAGCAACGTTAACAGACTACTCCGTTATTTGCACCATTTTAGCGACCAGTAGGAAAGTGCCTCTGACTATAGCACATTGGGTCAGTTCCTAGATAACAATGATATGAGCCTGCACGTGTTCCGTAAATCAGTAGAAACACCATATTGACAGTGTTTCTCTGCCTTCTGATACTAATCCAGCTGCTCACCAGACTATTGTACTGCAGTAAGAAATCTACTAGCCGCTATCAAAAAAGAGCTGCTTAAGAGATTGTCAAATTTCTTGCACCCCGGACAAGCGATAACGACGTCTGAAAGGCTAAACTACCTGGTAAAATTTGAAGGCCAGTTTTAGAAGCATCCAGAGTAGTCGGGCGCATCTTCAGGACTAACAGCAGAACAGGCCACTTATACATCTGACTATAGTATACCTACCATTCCCCTCAGACAGTATGCAGTGGTCATTTAGCCTAAATCGGAGCGGGGTGAAAACCATTGCTTGTCGATAATCCGACTCGATTGTTCTTCCATTCGGCCCGATAGTTCTCTCGCCCTCGAAAGGATCATCGGCAAGAGAATAATCACTGGCGAATTGGGATTGGATATGCTGAATCAAATCTGCGGTGGGGTTGTTTTCCCTTATCAATCAGATGCCGCTGTCTCAGCCCTAACAATGCCGACATCTGAGGGTAGTGTCCGGGTTAAGGGTTGCTCGTGCAAACATCGGCAATTGATTGACAGTTGGGATACTGCTCATTTGACTGACTGTTCCCTTTGATGATTGGCCTCTTCCAGGGGCCAGTTGTTGTTGTTCTTGAGCCGCTAGTCGCGTACATCCATGATCATGTTAACAGTAGGTAGACGGACCACCGGCGGGCATCACTGCTGCAGGCCGCAGGAAGATGACTACTGTTCCCAGTGACCTAAACCCTGAATCAAAACTCTAAAATCAGAGCTGCAGGACTTCAATCAGGAGACGATCTCAGCTGCCAATATTGAAAGCCGTTTGACAAGCATCCGATTGTATGCACAGAGACTACAATGGCAACCAAGTACCTTTCAACTACAGACTACAGCATGTAACCCTGATATGAAACCCTTTCATCTCATTGACGAGAGACAAATGGGCGATTAACGACGGGACAAGTCCTTCTCAGGTATCTCATTGACCTCTGCGGAAACGACAGAATGCCGAACCAGTGAGGCCCTGCATACCACGTCAACATCATCCCAGATGGTAGACAACGTGTGCGGAGACCCTTGGGAGAAGGAAAGGAAAGGAAAGAGAAAGGAAGAGAAAACACGCACACAAATGAAGAAAAGAGCTCGGCACAAGCGCGGGCGGTGAGGGAATGGAAGATGAATCTTCCGAATGGTAATGCAGCATTGCTCATTGGCCCAGAATTCCCCTCTGGAGCTGGTCCCGTGACCTGGAGTCGAACCCGAGGTTGTCCGTCCCGTGATTCCGAACCGCTACGAGAGTCGGGAGTTCGAGGCTACTTTCTTTCCTGGTCGACCACGAACCTCGAACGACGACGACATTCCTTTTTCTGTCCACTGTTCAATCCCCAGTCCCTGCGCCACCTGTCAGGTCCTTTCACACGCGTCACAATGCTTTCTCAGAAGGTTGCCCAGCAGTCGCTGCGACGGCGTACGTTCTTACTTCTCGACCCTGCAGCCATGGGGCTCCGCTAACCGATTCGTTTGCAGTCGCCGTCCAGCAGCCCTACGCCCTGCGCTGGTCCTTGATGAACTCCGTCTCGCCTGCCGCCGTTGCTCTCGGAAGAAATGTTCAGATGAGGTGAGTCGCTGCGCCGAAGGATGGATGGATTGTTGCGACGGGCTTCTCCATTGGGTGGATTTCGCGATCTCGAATTCGACCGCAACCGCGTGAGACGAAGGCCATGATAGACTAGACACTTGTGGGGATTTAGCACACAGGATCGCTAACCTATCTCGTCGGATTAGACAAGCTACTACCAGCACGACCACCTCCGACCCCAACAAGCTCCTTGCTGAGCAGCGTCTGCGCCGCCCCGTCGCTCCCCACCTTACCATCTACAAGCCCCAGATCACCTGGATCGGCAGTAGTTTGCACCGTATCACCGGTATCGCCCTGTCCGGCAGCCTCTACCTCTATGCGACTGCCTACCTCGCTTCTCCCATGCTCGGCTGGGACCTCGGCTCTGCCTCCGCCGTTGCCGCCTTCGGTGCCCTCCCTGTCCTCGCCAAGGTCCTCCTCAAGGCTACCATGGCCATGCCTTTCACCTACCACTGCATGAACGGTGTTCGTCACTTGATCTGGGATACCGGTCGCGGTCTCACCAACCCCCAGGTCATCAAGACCGGCTGGACTGTGGTTGGCCTGAGTACGATTAGCGCTCTGATTCTTGCTTTGCTGTGATTTCGCTTGTGCCATACCTTTTGATTCCTGCTCTGTCTAAAATGTTCTTCTTGCAATATATATTCAATAGCCAGTCAATGGATGACTGATTGCTTTTTTTCTTTTGGAAAACCCCGGTCTCCTACGTCTTTGTCATGAAGACATGTTTTACACGGCCTGCAGAAGGAAGCGGCCGTGTACCATTTCGTAGGGCAATCCTCGGACATTGAGCCCCTGTCGTGGATATTGGTATAGGGGGGATTGATTCATACAGCATACGAAGACAGCACGCGAAAACAGCACCACATACTGCGCATATCACTAACATTGTAGCCGGACTAATATCATTCTCTAGAACATTTGCAACAATAACTCCAGAACCCCCATCTTCGGTCCAGTCTATAACGGTTTCCCTATTTCAATTTCACAATCCCTGCTAAACAAATTCTTCACGCCGATGATTTTCTTTTGTCGCCTTTGGTGCTTGAACAGCCGCAATCCTAGCCGCAGTATTGCCATGTGCCACTTCTTCGTCTGTTACATAGTTAGAACCGATACTTCTATGTCTTTGGCTCTCAAGGTGCGCATCTGCATGTCTCTCGCAGCATATGCACGCTCGAGCGGGAAAGAATGTCCTCACCTATACAGGAATTCCTTAATGATCCAACGACTATCAATCATCATGGTCTGATTTCATGCCGGACTTGGCGGAGGGTTGGGAGGGAAAGGCTGAGGTGAAGGCGGATCATGGACCGAACAGTTACTCAGAGGAATCCCCTCCCTGTTGATTTCAACTGGAAGAAGGATCATGCCCGACCAAACTTCGGAACGGAAGTTGTACATTGTCCAGAGTGACATGTTGCGCTGTGAAGAATCGAACCGGATAGGCAGACTGCGGATAGCTCGGGGTATTTTCGTAGCCTGGAGAGGAGGATGTCTTGGGCTTGCTTGATACCACTGACAAACAGAGGGGGGAACAATTGACTGGAGCTGCTTTTGAGATATAAGACGAAGGCAATGCGAGGCACACACACGCACACAAGAGGTCTGATGAGGAGTCACTGCAGAGCGAGCTACAACCTTCCCTTTATATACTGCCAATTCTGAAGTCCAGAGACCGGGTCGAAATGGGCTCTGGGCTGGGTCGTACACCGCTATACTGTTCGACTTCCGTCTCCACGGCAAGAGGCCGCGTGGGGGATATGACATTTCCAATGGCCTTAACGCTGATCACTCCGCCAGCGTTGATAGATCTCGATGAGTCTCCCGCCTTGTCTGCAAGGGACCGACGGGAATGAGTCTCGTCTAAAGATGTCGGACAGTGTGCTTGCAGCCGCGTGTCTTGGTCTTTGACTACAAGACAATACCTCAGACACACTGGAGAAAGAGAACAGAAGAACTATGATGAGCCAAGACATACTAGCAGACTGTCCGATCACCGGCACGCTGTGTGAACTAACAAGCATCGAAACTCCCTCACGTCTTTTGACTATCGCAAGTCATATTACCTCAGATCTTAGAACCTGAGCCAGAAATTGAGGCTGGTATTTTCTGCCTGCTCTCCATACCTAGGGCCGAGGGTCGATGCGCACACCTTGCGAACAGACCCTGGAACGTAGACGCCAGATGGACGTTTTACGATCTTCCACCCTCTAAGGCGATTCCGGCAGCTTGGCCCGAATTGTGGCTTCAGGATTCCCGGGGAATTGGGGGCGAGGGTGCGTTTGCCTTTGCATAGACGGGGCCCCAGAAAGTTTGCTTCGATACAGGGATTCTGGAGAGCTTCCATCTTTGCAAACAACCGGCCTCTGCAATACTGCGCCCATCGACCATCAAGCTTACAGTAAAAGTCAACTTTGAAGCATCTGGCAAGCCCGTTACTGGTGACTCGCTCTATTACGTGTACACTGTTCCCCATTTGCCTACTCGTCTTCCTCCAGATTGCCATTTTCGCATCACCGAGGCAGGTCTTCGTCGGATCTTTCCAGTCAGCCTGGATTTCTAGAAGCGGTCTGCAAACGGCATGATAGCAGTTTCGGGTATATGGATATTCCTGTAAGACGAAGGCCTCTTGGATGCCATGTCTATCACGCGGAAGCACGTGGACAGATTTCTGAGCTCGAATCCAAAGCACCCAGAATCGAAACGATTCTGACCCCAAGTCTCAGCAAATTGCCTGACCAAGCTCTTCCTTCTAAACGGCTAATGCATGAGACCGCCTCCAGTGATGTCTCAAGTCTTCCTCCCGACGGCTTCTGACGGGGTAGCTGCTCAGAGTCGGGTAGAAGGCGTTCAACGGCCGCTGGGCATCGTCCTCCTCCCTAATCAAAGGATCTTGTGGTAACTGGCTTGCTCTTGACTTCCTACTACTCACTTTACGGGGAAGTGCATTTGGAACTATGTTCCCCGCAGAGCGGTGTCGTCCGGAGAACGGGGTCCAATACAAAGAATTGACACCTTGAGGGGTTCTCGTTGTTGGCTCAAGAGTTTCGGGGGCTTTGAGAAGGACTCGTCTCCTCTTCGCCTTGCGTTCAATCTATATCACCTGCCAGTGCAACACTGGCCCGTTGGAACGAGAATCTCCCGGTCGTTACGTTCCCTGTCAATAGCAGCTTTGAAGTAT